TGTTCGCTCAAAATTTTGTTTTAATTTCAATATGGGTATTTTTCATTAACTTCTAATAATTCGGCTCACATCATTCTGAACTATGCTGAACAAGATAATTTCTTTAGTATTAGAGATAAAGACTAGAAAGTTCAAATCACTGTTGGTAATTTATAATTTTAAATAGTTCAGGTTATAGTCTGCTGAAGTAAAAATCCATGAAATCATGAAAAATCAGCTCATTTTTATTCAAATACATTTTTCTACCTTGTTTATTTATTTTAAATTGAGAAAATCATTGAACTTCACAGTGTTTGCTGACATAGGAGTCTGTGGACGCTGTGAACACAAACGACATTCAAAGTTAAGTAGAGAAACAATTATAAATCTGTGGAGATTTTGAAAGCCCTATCTAACCTGACTGATATACATTTCGTGATATGATGAAAATGGAGCACTTTCAGTCACTAATTATATCATAGTAGAGATGATACAGTGAATTATTTGGAACAATGAAATCAAAATGTATGTAAACAAGTTTCCATAGAATTACTGGTGACATCGTTTTACTAATGTTAGGCTGACATTATTAACTTTGGTTACCATTTTGATTAACAGATATACATACATATATATATCGTTTATCTTGTCGCCTATAAGTCTGCAACTCCCAGATTTATTTGGTCTGCATCATTTACAATAAACAGAATGCTAATTCTTTGGTTGATTACTAGTCGATGAGTACACTTATGGTTAAAGTTTCACTCTTATGAGTGCCCAGTGCTGTAAAACGTATCTTTATTTCATCAACCTGAACCATAGCTATAAATGTACAGTTTATTCACAAATTAGAGACAAAAGGTTAGATAAATCTCAGATTCTACATATCTTTTCCCCCACCCTGTTACGGAGAATATCCAAAAGGCTATTCAAATACATTCGGATAACGCTTTTTTACAATTTTCACCACGGATTGATATCCGTTAGATGCTAGCTAGGCGACTTGTTACAGGACGGAGTTCCCCTGAAGTTCTAGTGAGAAGTTGAGACCAGTGAGGTCGATCCAGTCAAGTGTGTGAGGATGGATGCCTCACCGATGACATTGTTTAGTGATCGTGCAAAATCATGAATTGGTGGAAGTTAGAATTCATGGGTTGGCCATTGAATCGGGCCGGGTCCCAATGGCTGCTTAATGATCTACAAGCTAGCTTGCTTTGTAGTCGGATGGTTGTGTGTTCGAACCCGTGTAGTGGGTGCGTACTGCCGATGATTTGCAAACTAGGCTGATGAAACAGCCATCCAGTACTCCAGTACTGGTTTCAATGGTTCTCTAACTGATATCAATCTGTGATCGAACTCGTTAAAACAAATTTCATCCTCACAAAGCAACTTCTGCAAAATCGAATAACTTTGTCCTAACTCCATTACACTGATTAGCTTATAAGTATGTCTTGTTTACACTAACTCGTTACCTCTGGCAGAATTACAGGTTATAAGTTGACCGCTTTATTCCCGTTTATATATTGTTAATTGATCTCAGGCCTTGTTGAACAGACTGTAGATAAATGCACAGTAATTCGTCTACTGATTAACAAGAATCACATCAGTAGCGTTTTGAGCCTTTGCTAAATCAAGATTTTCTCATTAATGCTGATGCGTTTTTAAACGATTTAATTCTGTGAGCAGATCAACGAGCCTTGAAAGTAAGATGAGCTGACTTTGCACACAAAATGTTACTCCATTAAAAAAAAACAATTTGATAATGCTGTTTAGTAAAAAAAACCATTCTTAAATCGGTCCAGCAGTATTCCAGGCACATTGGAAGACTACACCTTTGAAAGGTAACCCTAATAAATCTCCAAACCCACACTTTGTATCCAAAAGAAATACGTCCAACCCCTGTTCCTGCCATGGTCATCATAAATAGGTAATTTTTTTTACTACTGACCATCGCATCGCCTTTCTCATCTAAACGTCTTGTTTATTCATGTTATTTTTAAGTTTTTTTTTTAATCCTTGTTTACACTACCATATTTTCATATCCGAACTTCCTGTCTATTTCTTCATTTTACTATTTCTACATATTTAATCCCTGATTGCATAAACAATTATTCATCAAACTAGTTTTTTACCCAAACATCTTGTCTATTTTGCTATTTATACATTTCTGAACCCCAGTTGCACAATGTCAATCGTCTTAGTTATTATGATGCTAGTTTGTTTGAGTTTTATCCGCCCCCTGTTTAATATTACATTCTAATTCCTAATTGTAATTTATACTCATTTGACCCTTAACCGGAAATTATTCTGGAACTTTCCCATCCATTTGATATAAATACACGAATGCACAGCCTAGATGATGACTTCGTTGAAAAGAAAATTTTCTTCGCTGCAACTGTCTTCTTAATAACTCCTATGACCCAATGTGTATATTCCGTGATTTAAATCTCCATTGTTTACCTACATGAAAAATATTTGACATACTCTCTTGAAATAGTGGTGAGTATCTCCACCTGCCACGTGGAAGGCCCGGCTTCGATTCCCGGCCGAGGAGCTGGCCTTGTGCGGCGGTGGCATAGTGGTTAGGACTCTTAGCGATCATGCACATGGTCCGGGGTTCGATCCCCTGCCGACGGACACCTGATATCTATGGTCGGCCTGCAAAATTTGGGCTACTGATATCACATGCTGAAAACTTCATAGCTGTACCAAAAAATACAGTGTGGAATCAAGCTGTGATCAAAAACAAAAACGAAAAAAAATAGAGACTCAGATCTTTGAGTCAGTGTCAACACATGTTCTCCTTCTGCAGTGAAAGGAAAACACTGTTACGGTACTTCGACTCGTATCAACTGTTTCCAAAGTAACCTGGAATGAATATTCCCTGACTGCGATGCTTTGAGAACATTTCCGTGCATCTAGGTGTCCAGTATTTATAAATCTGTTGGCATAATTTTATTGGCTTGTTTTTTTTATTTCGTCTAAGCCGGTGTCCCTAAACAGTTTTGAAGTTGCTCAAAGGCTGGACATTCTATGATGAACCCCAACATGCACGGAGTGTCTACAGTCCCGAAGGAATTCATTTCCTTCGCCTCAAGATCGCAGTTGTTGTTGCTTGCATTTCTTACAATTTTTCTGAAAACAACTGCTGAACAAACACCAAATTAGTATTTTGTAAGTTTGTACACAAGATTTTAAGTGCTTAATATCTCTGATCTTAATCTTTGGCAAAATGTCAGCTTATCTCCCAGTTTAAATTCTAATCACTATAAAACAGAACAATTTCTTTATTTTAACTGATTAAAAATGCCCATTGAAATTTTTTAAAAGAATAGATACTGAACAAAGAATACTCTTTTCGATAACCTGCTCTTCATCAGGCTCTACAGGTATACATAAATTACAGTAAATGAATGAATGAATTACTGTTATGAACAACACCACTAATGTTGTTCGTAATTCAATAAAGTACATTCGCCTATGAAATTCACGTGAGAAGGGGAATCCCAAAACAGAATTTCCTTCCTGGATGTCTTCCTTACAAGAAAACCAGTTGGTAGCATAAAAAGAAATTTGGATAAAAAAAGTACTTGGACAGGACAATATACACATTTTCACAGCTTCGTTCCTATCATGTATAAAAGAAATTTAGTGTAGACCCTCAGCCACAGAGTTAGAGCTATATGGTCAGAAGAAGTAATTGAAGATGAATTGAGCATTGTATATAATACTTTGATCGAAAATAGCTATCCCGACAAATTTATCAAGAAACACATGACAAAGAAAGCGCAAAAGGACAACTCACTGTGCGTAAAGAAAAAGCCTTTATACACATACAACCGACTGCAATTCAAGTGTGAAATAACCAAGTGAAGTAATTACAAAGATATTAAGAAAATCAGTTCAAAGAAATCTGAATGCTGGCGAACTACACGTCTTACTCTCTACACGATAGATGATGCTACCTAGACTGAAAGATGAAGTACCTAGACGAGACACTTCAAATTGTATCTACCAATTCAACTGCTCTCCTGTGGTGGAGCGAGTTATATTGACCGTTGCTCTGCGGACTTGATTTCTCATGCTCGCGATCATCTCTCACTATGTCTAAGTAAAGGCGTAGTGAAAACCATTAACAGTTCGACACTGGACCACCTGGTGTAAACCGGCCGGTCACAAAGCCAGCGTGAAAGAATCCTTCTCTATAATCTACCGGGTGCCTAATAAATTTCCAAAATCATAGAAGCACCGCATTCTCCACACAGTAGAGGCTATTGCAATTCGCCTCAAACAACCAGTGCTCTGTGTTGAAAAGAAGAAAGTCCAGCTAGCCCCCAATACTGTCCTCGCCGGCCTTCAGTAGAGACTGTAAATTCATGAATTTGTGATATTATCTTTCTTAATTTTTCTGAAATTCAGCTTATTTTATGTTGATGCTATTGAGCTGTAATCTATCAATATTATTGATTCGATGTTATTCAAACAGCAACACTAATGTTGTTAATAACACTAGTTCATTCAAGTATTGGTTTGTAGGGATTAGCTTGATTGATTACAGAATTTCGTCATGAGCTGACATTGGTTAGAGAACCATTGGGTGCAGCTGGTCGGGTGTGAGGACAAATACCCGCCGAAATCATTGGCTAGCGGTCGCGCTATATCGTGAATTGGCAGAGGTTAGAATTCATGCGCCATTGGATCGGGTTTCCATTGGCTTAATGGTATACGAGTTCGCCTTGTAACGAGAAGGTTCTGGGTTGTAAACTTGGCGGTGGGTGGATACTGCTGAAGATTCCCAAACTAGGACGAAACAGCTGTCCAGTACTCCAAGGTTTTCCAATGGTTCTCTAACCAATGTCAGCTCATGATGAAATCCTGTAACTAATTCATTCATTCACTATAATGTATATATAACTGTAGAGCCTGATGAAGAGCAGGTTACTGAAAAGAGTATTCTTTGTCCAGTATCCATTCTTTTTTTCATTTTAAATGCATCAGTACGGAAACTAAAAGTCTACATTCAAATAGATAGTAGCTATTTATTGACAACTTATATATATATATATATTTAACAAAGACGTTTTGGAGGACAGAAATGCCTTAGTGTTGTAAGTAAGATGACAGTTTAACACATCAGTTAAATAAACACACACAAAAGAAACATAAAATTCTATGACACTGAGTTTCATTGTACACTGATATTAGTTTAAGGTCGACGCATAAAATTCAAAAACTGTTGGTAATCCATCCCATTATCTTTGTTTATTTTATTCCGGGTCATCCAATCACTGAGTTGACTTGTTTGTAGATCATAGCCCATTTCTTGTAGTAAACTTACAACTTCTGAGACAGAAATCTTTCCAGAATTATCTTTATCCATGTCGTTGAAAACCGTACGCCAGACAGCTGACCTATAGGATAATTAATACAATAAATGCAAAAACAAACGTTACGTACATCTTCCTTATCATACATACGCATAAAATTTTCGGCTTAATCGACTAACAGACTTGTTTCAACACAGAACTTTGCACAAAGGTGCAGCAGTTCAAGTTACCATATTCTATGTAGTACAGAAAGGCAGAGACAGAAGATATTCGAGATTACTAAAATAAGCAGAAATATGAGGGAGAAAGAATCGGAACATGGAAGAACAGTCGGGTTTCATTGGATATGGCGGACTGCACACAGAGAATGCATCTGCAACAGTGGGAAGGATTTCGAGTCATGTCACATGCTGTTCCAAGCAGGTCATTCTTGGCATCCCAAGGACCTCAAGAAACAGTCTACACATTCTCACATGTCTCAAGGTAACTGTCAGAGATTGAATGGATTGCCACCATGTTTTTTTTATTTGACTACAACGGGCTCTTTTCCAGCCCAACTCACGATGTATTTTCTCGGCATTCCCTTCACAACCAAAAATCACCATAGTACCTCTCGGTCGACGGAATCGAATGCCGCTTTCAGGTCAAGAAGTTTGACGATTTTTGGACGCCAGTAAATACGCCTATGTTTCAGAATCTGTCAAAAGGTGAATATGTCGTCAATACACCCTCAACCTGGTCTAAAGCCTACCTAGTGTTCTCGTCTTTGTGCCTCCCGAGCACCATTTAGTTTACGCATGATTATTCAGCCCAGAAATTTCGATACCATAATACCGTAGTCCACCTTAACAACTCTCATACATGCAGTGAGTACACTGTGTAAGAAAAAAATCTGATGTTAATTGCAACAGTTTACATTACAACAACTTTAGTTCAATAGTAGAATACTCAGCTATTACGTAACAGATCCGAGGTTCTATTCCCAGATGACGCAGTCACAAAACTTGCTTAACTAGCTTACTAGGTGACAATAAGCCCTGAAAACAGGGACGGATGGAGGTATGAGACTGACAACGGCACCTAGTATAAACAACGCCATAGTATTCTATAGTTTGGTTTGTAAGCATTAATTTTGTTTAAACGGGTTGATCACGGATTGATATCAGTTAGAGAACTCGTAAAAAAAAAAAAACTAATCCTTACAAACCAACTGCTGAAAATTGATCTGATGCTCGATAGTGACTTGCTAAAGGACGGAGTTTCCTGGAGCTCTAGTGAGAAGTTGAGACCAGTGAGTTCCATCCAGTCAAGTGTGAAAATAGATTTCCCACCAACGAGATTGCCTTGTGGTCACGCTAAACCACGAATCGGTAGAAGTTAGAATTTATGGACTGGCCATTGAATCGGGTCCCATTGACTGCTTAATGGTCTACGAGCTAGCTTGCCTTGTAACCGGAAGGCTCTGGGTTTGAACCTGTGTAGTGGGTGCATACTGCAAACTAGGCTGATGAAACAGCTGTCCAGTACTCTAGTACTGGTTTTCAATGGTTCTCCAACTGATATTAATCCATGATCAACTCATAGAAACACCATAGTTACTGAGACTTAAAGGCTGAAGTCTTATTTTCCACTCAGAACGCGAAAAATAAGAAACTAAGAAGAAACACTAGAGTATTACAGAGGTCGGAGTAGATCTAAATCAAGATGGAGAAAGACATGCCGAAGGTTTGGTAACTTCAACAGATACATCCACTACATTTCACTAGAGTATTATAAATCTTTCAGTCGATGATGCCTGGCAGTCATCTCAGTTACCCCTAAATACCAATTAAAACCTGTTAGTGTATCATTATTGAAGGTAATATAGAAGGCAAATGGTAAACCATTGGCTGTCTCATTTTGTATAAATTGCCTTTTTACCACAAATAAATAACAGATTGAAAAGAAGAAAAAGTTCAGCATAAATGACGATCTTTTCGGCGATTTCATTCTCAAAAGCAGCTCTACAATCGCATTTATATACACATCAGTTTACATGGATACAATTATTATTTGTTTAATTAATTCCATATAGTAACCAAGGTGATAATAATTTTCAACTTGATATGAAAGTTTGAAGGTATGAATATAGATTACAAGAGGCTTAGAGACAAGATTACATAGGATTAGAAAATAGTTACAACGTATGCAAAAAATTAATATTTGATAACTGAAGAAATAAGAGTTTTAAAGGTGAATAAAAGGTGATAATTATTTTCAACTTGATATGAATTACATTACATCGAAACGCCGGAGCTGTGTGTTCAAAAGAAACTAGTCCATCTTTTACAACTACCATGCACCTAGTTCGGTATGTTCCCTTATTCTTCAGTTTTTTTTGTTTTGTTCTCTGTGTGTGTATTTTTCTCTCTTTGTCTTCATTCAATTCATCTCATTTTCATTTCAGATATAAAATCAGTTATTTTAAGTTTGTTTCCATGCTCCTCCTGATCACACTTGTAATCCATTTGGAATAACTATTTGACAATTATGTTCAAATTCTGTGTAATTTTTTGTTTCTATGCCTCTTGTAATCTATCTATATTCACACCTCCTAACTTACATTTCAAGTTGAAAATTTTCATTTCGATTTATTTCCATGCTCATTTTGTTCACATCTATAATTCGTTCTATCCCTGCGTAATTTTTGTCTCTAAGCCTCCTGCAATTCATATCAAGTTGAAAACAACTATCACCTTTTATTCACCTTTAAAACTCTTATTTCTCCAGGTATCAAATATTAATTTTTTGCATACATTGCAACTGTTTTCTAATCCTATACAATCTTGTCTCTAAGCCTCTTGTAATCTATATTCATACCTTCAAACTTTCATATCAAATTGAAAATTATTATCTCCTTCGTTACTAAGTGGAATTAATTAAACAAATGATAATTGTATCCATGTAAACTGATGTGTATATAAATGCGATTGTAGAGCTGCTTTTGAGAATGAAATCGCCGAAAAGATCGTCATCTATGCTGAACCTTTTCTCCTTTTCCCTCTAATGTTCCAATGAGTATTTTCCACGATTAGAAATAAATATGTTGTCAAGGTTGAATTTTCGTTTGAATATGTGTCAACACCAAAAGTTCACAGATATATACATGGTGTTTGCGTAGGTGGCGGTTATTTTTATTTTGTTTTTTAAATGTCAGCAAGATATGAACTATTTTATTCTAGCCGTAAACAAATAACAAAACAAAACGCGATAACTTACTCTTTTTCTTCCTTAGGAATTATATTCAATACACCCTTGTATTCTTCTAAAGTGATCTGACCATCTCCATCCAGATCAAAGGTTTCTATAAACTCCTGGAGCAAAAAATATAAACAAAACAACCCACATGCGGAGGTATTAATATTTTTGTATAATGATAAAAAGAAGGTAAAAAAGTATCTGCATACTCAGAGGGAATTCTTAATTTGCATTTCAGTGTGTAACTTCTAGTAAGTTTAGCAATACTATTGATATTGATATAAGAATAAAACTAGTGTACTGTGGTAGAGTATAATTCCATTATGGGTGAAATTTATTTTGAGAAAATCACACACACACGGTGTGTTATACAGTAATATTTACTAATGATGGCCACGTTTTGAGCACAATTTATTGCTGCTCATGATCGCGATATCAAGGCACTACTCACCCAAATTAATTTCGTCGGTGGCACAGCGGTTAGAACTCTCGCCGACCATGCGCATGGTCCGGGGTTCCAGCTCTTGCCGACGCACACCTGATAGCAACGGTCGGTCTTCAAAATTGGGCTACCGACATCATATGCTGAGAATTCCATTCTTGTGCCTAAATGAAGGTGTGGAATCAAGCTATAATCAAAATAATTAAAATGAAAATTTTCCATCGCTTGATTTGATTGCTAGTAGTAGTGCTTTCCATATTTCCGGTATGAGTGATGAATCATTCCTATTGCACGTTTTTAATGTAGACTAGATGAACAAGGATTCTATCTCCACCTACCTAGATTACTTCTTAAAATTTTAACCCTTTCCCACTATGCTATTGTGTGATTGTGTGCTAATGCATGCAGTGCAACTACTAAGTGTATTTTTCTAAATTAATTATCTTCGACGGATCAATCATTCTAACCTTAGCTAAATTCATATTTTCTGATAATCTGATTATCCCTGACCGCCAGTTTGACTGACCTATGTAGTTTACCTTACTCACAGTCATTGCAAGGTATTTTGTGAATTATATTATTTTGTCTAGGTGGGTTAACCGACAGTTTCCTTGAACCTACAGAGCTTGTCCTACCTGAGTGAGTTTGTAGGTTTAAATGCCACTCTAATTCCGGCTTTATTCTACCCACAATGGAAGTTTAGCAATACGATATAGACATTTCTTCCTGTCTAATATCACCTCGAGGAATGTTTAGTCCGCTTACTACAGCACTTTTAAACAAATCACAAATAAATACAACTCAATGGCTGCTGATTATTGGATCGGTACATTGCGACTAAGATAGTTTTCAATATTTGCTCCGTGAACAGAATTGATATCATTTGTCCACATGTAGTGTGCTGATGCTGACAGCACTGTTCTTTCTTCTCCAAATGCTTCTAGAGTGTGTAGCGTTTTGAAAACCGCTCTAAGTTTTCAATATCTTTTCTGCTTCTTTCATAGAGGGATAGTGTCCAGAGGGAAAGTAATTCATGTTGTGTATATTAGTGTAGGTTGTCCAAAATATATCACGTTATGCACCATTTTGTTATTTGTATTTATCCTACTGTCGGTATGCTAACTGTAAATATTTCGTTGTTTATTCTTGTCTAGGTTGGTTCCTGAAGGTTATATTGGCGAGAATATAAATACCTAAAATAGTACAATACTATTTAGACTTCTCCAAATGACTTAATTAACCTTGGCATATTTTTTTCGAGAAACCTGTCGGGGAAATAAGACATCTGTTGTCTATTAGATGGTTGTAGGCAATCGGTAGAAAACTTTCAGCCTAGGTTTCATGCTTGCTGGTGCTCATCAGCAAGATGTGCCTGGAACTTTGAAGGAACTCATATCCCAATGACATAAGGAAATAACTTAGGTATTGCGGTGGAGTATAACTTCAACATGACGAAAGTCTACTCGATGAAGTTTCAAAGTGTTATACAGTGACATATACTGATGGCGACATTTCGAGCACAATTTATTACTGCTCATAATCATATTAAGTTGATAAAGTATGATGTGGTGTGATGGAACCTATGCCTCCTCTGAGATCCGAACCCATGTCACTCATCACTGCAACCAGAAACTTTATCACTGAGTTATTGTGGCCAATGCATTAACTTCCGCAGGACTCAGTTGTATACCTTGATTAGAAACTGGGCAGTAAGTAACTAGTATCATGAGTTTAACACTTTGTCTGGTGCAGACAATTGTATCTGTTAGGCTGGAAATGAAGCCATATGCTAGGTACCTCGCCGTTATAGTTCACATATTCGCATCGCCTAATGTTAGAAAACTATCCAACACAGCGTTGGTGTGCGTTGGTAGCACAGCGGTTAGGGCGCTTGCCGACCATGCACATGGTCCGGGGTTCGATCACCGGCCACCGACGAACTCCTTTACCTCGCTAAGCCAGAAGTAATGCTGGTAAAGAGGAAAGGTTGATCATGAGGCTAGCAACCCCATCCTGTAAAATTAAACACTGCTACAGAAACTTCAAGCCACTAGTTTGAAGTCACCCTATGTTCCACTGGGAACATCAAGGAAAAAGAAATCCAACACAACAAAATATCAAGTTGATTTCAACACATTTCAGGGCCTAAACGTTTTTACAGCTAATAAGGAAATTCTTCACTTGTAGATTTTTATAATGTCGATGAGCAAAAGTTAAACGCTGTTATTAATGAGCAATGAATAACATACATCATCAAGTCACACGGTTTAAAAGCGTATAAGTACATATGATCAAACTGTCTACTTCAGCTGATTTTATGGCAAAATTAATATACTCCACTGAAGGTTTATTATCCATTTTGTGTGTACAGAATCTCAATTCAAAGCTGCCTTGATTATTTAAAAAATTTGCAACACCAAGTCGCATTTCACGTTTTTTTCGTCTTATCAACATGATGCTTTAACGCACAGGTTACACAACTAGCGAAGACATGCCATGAGCCAGTATGTCCTAGGTGATCTGAACGCCAGACATTCAAGGCAGATGTAGATCAAAAGGTTCGTCACTGGACTGTTGTGTCTAAATGTTGTCCAGTCAGAATATAGTTTTCATATCTTAGACATAACTAGCTGAGGTTTCTGGTCTTAATTCCCATTCTGAGGAGCAAAAAATTATTATTTACTTTTAACGTCGGCTTTCTTTGTCTTCCTCAGTGTAAGAATGACAGTCGACTAGTAAGCCGTATATTGTCCAGTGTTGGAATGATAACAGAATGAACTCAAATCCAGTGTCATTCTCTGTCACAGCTTAATTCCCTACATTACTTCACACTGTCGTTTACTTGACCGGTAGTGTTTATGTGCTAAACTTTAATTTTTTCTAAGTTTAAAAGCACAATACTTGAAACTGCATATATATATATATATATATATATATATATATATATATTAAGCTGCTCGGCAAGTTATCTTTTATAGTGGTACAGATTTTTGCAACTTTACCTGTCACATCTCAAACTTTCATTTCCCCTCCCTCCCCCCCCCAGTCACCATATCAGTCTTCTGGCAGAATTGTCTGTTAACTGTTTCTTGAACAAACAAATATACAGTACACGTACTACAATGTTTCAGCATCTTCGATTCTTTTCACCAATAAATTAACACAAAGCCTGGTCTATCTACACTTACCAAATTAGAGACAAATGCCGAGTAAAAAAAATAATCAACAAGATTTAGGAGAACGACATATTCAGAATGACACTATCTATGTTGATTAGTTATATACAAAGCGTATACATGTTTAATAATAGTAATAATTTACTTTATACCAAAAACAGTACTTGTGATACAGAATGGAATTTTAAGCATTAATCACAATATTATTGCATCTAATCCATCCTCAAATTATAAATAAAAATTATTCACACAGAAAATTTTCCACATTTACAATAGAGGTAGTGTCAAAAACATGCAGCATATAAAACGGAAATAACAATAGTAATGATAACAGCTTGGGTAATAATAATAAGAATACAAGTGAAAATTGCCGTTGGCTTGTGTCACACAGTATTGGCAATGTGGTATAGAAATCCTAACATGTTTAAAAATATTGAATATAATGTTCTCTTTACATGATATGGTGAGGGGAAAAACAAAGATTACAGCCGTCATGGAGATAAGTTGGTGTTTGCAATTATGAGAGTAAAACAGAGAAGTAACAGGACCATAAATATAATAGAAATAATAAAAGTAAAACTTGAAAGTATATAAGGATGGATGGAGGATATTGTTTATTTACTAGATGAAAAAAGGTTAGTTAATTCATGTCTGACGCTATTTTCAGCACACAAAATACGTGCCAAGTATGGTATCATAGAATTTCTATACTTAGACGTGCGAGCATACAGTTTTCTGAAGTTACTCCTTGTTCTACCTGAGGAGATGCAAGGTGAAAGCTGAGCGTGAAGTGGATGCCCCAAGTCAGACAAAATCCCTTTAGCAAATTTATTGCACGAAGTCAAGTGCCTATCGACAACGACGTTGACTATGTGGTCCACTGGGACACCAGTCACCCTACTGATCGTCTTCAGCATTCTACGAATTGTGACATAATCTTTTTTAAGTAAACAAGGAAAGCATAATAAGGGTGAACAATAAAGAATGAAAAGTGAAAGTGTGGATATTCTGCCTAACTTAAATGGCCATTCATATATTTCGGTTAACAGTGTTAAATCATAGTTCAACTACCAAAGCTTTTGGATATAAAAAGAGTAAAAGCGGATGGATCTCTGTTCAAACATATAATAATAATAGTAATAATTTTGCTTTATTCCAGAAACAGTACTAGTGGTACAGTGTGAAATTTTCAGCATTAATCACAATATCGCATCTAATTTTAGCAATGACTTAACCCGAAACCTGAACTTCATGTGTTTATTTATGCAGACACCAACCATCGCTAAGTGTTTAAATTGATCAACTTCCCAATGCCGTCTAATTGATGATTAGAACTAACCCTAGGTGTTTATAGTTCAGTGAACTTGATTGCCTTAACTGGAGGACTTAAAGCCGAATGAATAAAGTCATTGGCGGTAAATACATGAGAAACGTGTTTATTCATCCCGCTGAATGAATCCTTTCAAAACGTGGCACATTTAAGCAGATAGAGTGTCAG